GGCACCACTGTACGCATTAGGTTCATCTGGGATGGGGATATTAATATTTGCTTAGGAATATGAATATCCACATTTCTTTTGTTGTTTAGTCGTTTAGTCATGTCCGACTCTTCGTGACCCCATGGACCAGAGCACGCCAGGCCCTCCTGTCTTCCACTGCCTCCCAGAGTTGGGTTAAATTCTTGTTGGTCGCTTCGATGACACTGTCCAACCATCTCATCCTCTGTCGTCCTCTTCTCCTCCTGCCTTCACACTTTCCCAACATCAGTGTCTTTTCCAGGGAGTCTTCTCATGAGATGGCCAAAGTATTGGAGCCTCCACTTCAGGATCTGTCCTTCCAGTGAGCACTCGGGGTCGATTTCCTTTAGAATGGATAGGTTTGTTCTCCTTGCAGTCCACGGGACTCTCAAGAGCCTCCTCCAACACCACATTTCTAGTTTTTACATATTCAGCCTGGGTAGTTTGAAATAGCCCTATTGGTATCCCTGCTACTTCTGGGCATTTATCTCTTCCGAGTGCTTACAGAGCAATATTCACTTCTCTTTCTAAAATTGAATGTTGTTCAGTATAGAATCTGACATCCTTTAATCTTTTCTGTATTCCGTATATTGTTTCTTCCTTCTGTATTTTGTCTTGGTTAGGTAGTATGTTGGTCTTTGAGAACCCCTAATCTAGGTTTAAATATCCCTTTTATTTCTTGGGTCTTTGGAAGAGATTTCCTTTTTTTCCTGATTTGTTCTGTTTCTTTGCACCAACAGTTGTAATAGTTCTTTTTGTCTCTAGGTGATAGTCACAGGAAAGTTGTATTCAGGATTCTGACCCTATTCTTGACTTTCTTTACTTCTGCTACTTGCCTATCTATAACAAATTCAAGCATTTCTTTCATCATCCATCCAATTGTTTTCTTTTATTTTGACTACAGGAGTACTCTTTTTATAATATAATCACCATCATCATCTTCAAACTGCAGAGCCACAAGGGGCCCTATAGATCATCGTGACCAGCCCCTGTCAAGGAGGCACAGTGGGAAATTGAACTCCCAATCTCTGGCCCTGCAGCCAGATACTTAAACTACAGAGTTATCCAGTATTCTTCCCTAATAATGTCTCTGGTTTCAACCCAGTTTACAGTGAATTTAGCAATGGAAAGCTTTAAATTCAACAAAACATTAAAATAACCAAAAATGTTATTTTAATTATATTTATGCACTATGATTCTTTTAATGTATTATTTTTCAGCTTTACTCTAATTGTGCATCTTCTTCTCTTTGTGAGCATGGAGAAGAACTGGAAACTTCAACCTGTGTTACTGTACTTGATATCCCTTAACATATATGACGATTTGATGTTAGCTTCCCCAAATGCTCTTCATGCTGTTCATCACTGGATGAAAATTATCTGATATAATTATTAATTGTATCACGTGTTTTTGACATGAAGAAAGAAAAGAAGGACTTTTAAAAAATATTAATAATATTAACAAAGTAATTAACAATACCACAGCTTCCTTCTGGTCTTGTTTTGGCAGAGAGAATACAACCTTTCTACCTACTACTTGCAATTACATAGTTTAATTGATTTCTTTATTGGCCATCTGATGATATCCATATGTAAGGTTATCTGATCAGTTTGGTTTGCAATAAATAGATTATTGGCCTCAGAATTCTACAAGTCATTCTCCTGTTTCATTTCTGATTACTTGATGAAATTGTCCAACCAAATTTGGTTGTGCATTTGTGTTCCAACCATGTATGATTATCAACACATCTTGTTTTTGTGTATGATCAGTTTCTTTCCGGACACCTTTCTATGCATAGTAATTGGGAATACAAGGAAGTATCCAGTTACAGATACTTCAGTATCTATAATTGGAGCATAGACTTGAATGATAATTATACTGATAGGTTTTCCAAGATGCCTGAATTATATTTTTCAACCAGACCTTACATTACAACCCCTAACTGTCTGTGTTACAATTTGCCTTAGTTATTAGAGTTATCCATTTCTTCTGATTTTGGCATTTCCAGAGCAAAACATTTGTAGCTGTCTGACTCTCCACTTTAGTTTGCTCACACCAAGTATTGCAATGTTCAAACATTGTGTTTCTTACTTCACAGTTTCTAGTTTACCTTAGTTCATAGTTCTTACACGTTTCACTTGTACGTTTTGTGCAACATCAGACTTTCCTTTTACTTTCTTTACATCAGCTACTGGATGTCCTTTCAGCTGTAATCAAGTTCCTTCATGAGTGACAGCACTGTTCATATTTTTCCTTTGCTCCTCTCCAGTAGCTGATTGAGTACCTTCTGGCGCCTGAGGGTCTCATCTTCCAGCACTAGCTCCTGTTTGATTTTAGATTGTCTCATCATAGAGATTTCAAGGTGAAAAATATTCAGAAATAGTTTACCAGTGCTTTCTTCTTGTGTAGTACTAATAACAGTTAGCTTGGGTGTTGCTGCCATTTTCTGTGAAAGATCCTCTGCCAGTGTCACATCCTGCTCAGTAGGTTATGCTTTTTCGTGTAAATGTGTCTCCAGTTTTAACTTAGAATACAAAACAAACCTATGTCCCTAGTATCAAAACTTTAAGAAACAGGGTTGAAATTTTGATTTCCAGACTTTATGAGTTTGTAAGCTATAGCTCCACAATTTCTTGCCGGTCTATCTGATTTGCATTGATCCAGGTGGCCACATAGCATAAAGGAGAGCACCATTGCCTGAAGCAACCATTGTTTGATAGCAGTGTGGACACATTCGGGAGCGATCCATGTGCAGCCAAATGCTTAGGTTTGTTTTTTGTTCTCTTTCATTTTGCAGCCGGAACACATTTTTTCACCTGCCATTGCACATACATAGGGGCTAATAAAATTGACTTTGAAAAAGAAGTTATAAACTATTTTCTACCCTGTTGAGTTGGATTCTGGCAAGGGAGAGACCGTGGTCCTCGGCAGTCGTATTACCTGCAGACAAGGCATAGCACTGGTGAACCATTTCCCCACGAGACACATGCCTGACTATTTTCTGAAAGCTTTCCCACCCCCACCCCCTTCTGAGGCCTCAGTGTTGACACACAGCTTGTTCTTGAAAGTGACTGCCCTCTTCCTGCTCCATATTATTTAAGGCTTCACACCTGTAGGTTGCCAGCTTCAGTCTGAAACAGCTTCTTCAGGACCATTGCTTTGATGATAAGCGTGCTGTGGGACAAGAGTCATGTAGCCAGAGGTTTCCGACCGTGCAGCCCTGACGGCTCCTCCAATCTATTTGACAGGAGTACCAGCGCATTGCCCCCTCTATGTTGTTCATGTAGTAGATTATTAGTGTCTTCTGGCTACCTCTGCTGTAAGTAGCATATTGATGGCAACAACTAGTGTTGAGACCTTGCCAATCAATACTGACATTGAATGAGAGTTAATTGACACAAATAACTGCATCTCTCGGTATGTGTACAAGAATGATGCCTTCTTGAGTTGTGATCAATAATGGCTCCTTGTAGAGCACTGAAATAAAGCTGCTTTCCTCTGCGTTTGACAGAGTTCTCCCCAGTGATTTTGGACCTGTCTCTTCCAATGCGTCCCATCAAGGCAGATTAACTGCGAGGTTACAATATGAATTTGCCTGTCAGGACGATTCTGTCAGGCATTGCCTGCTAAGTGTTTACCACTGTCATCAGTACCAAGTCTAGACCTTCAGCCTTTGTTTTGTCTCTTATTCACTAAACCAGAAAATTTAATAGTTTAGCAAGTACTGAGTTCATTGGCTGTAAAGGTTCCATGGCAATCCATCCTGTCCGATACAAACTTTGGCTGGGCTTGAAATGGCTTTTTATCCCTGATCACTGATCTTATCTCATTGATCATAGATGACTAAAGAATCTCTCAGGCCAGTTGGGAAACCCATGTCCACAGCCAGTCCATGGTCTGGAAGTTCTCAGCCTCTTCATGTGAAATCTTTCCCTTTACATCCACAAACTATTATTTTAAGACACCCTTTTATTTTAAGACACCCTTTTAAAAGACCCACACCAAGCTGCAAATGCTATTGAGTTTAAAAATCCTCCCTCCCTCCCTTGTACATGCAGTATTACAGCCTTAATGAATGTTATATGAATTGACTGGTGTCATAATTCAGGTCAGAAACAGGAGACCAGGATTTCTTCAGTATTGATATATACTGAGAGGTAATGCTAAAATTCTCTTCATTTACCTCATAATCTGAATAGAGACTCAACTGTTTCCAAATAGTTAAATGCCATACAAGCAGGTTACTCTTGAAATATTTTTTAAACTGATTAGAAAATTGTTACAGAAAGACGGAGAAATAGTTGATGGTTGAAATTACAAAGAAACATAACAGCAGTTCTCTTTGTTTTGATGAAATATTCTGCCACGTCTTTTGCTACAACTAAACCAGTGTGGATCTTAGATTGTAACTATGAATTTCAAATACTTTAGTTGAACTTGGAAGCTTATCGCATTATGATCACTTAATACTCCCATGCCTTCACACATAAAGACAAGTTTGCAGAGTGGACATTTTTTAAAATTATGCTATATTTAATCCAGTATTATGTACGCAATTTGGTATCACTATGTATATTGAGGTGTTCCTGTGTGAGAGACAAAGAGTGGTGGATGTTATTTTATGGTCACAGGTTTTCTTCATGCTCCACAAGGTGGGTGGGGATCGGGACCACACCCACCAGAAAGGCCACTGTTATTAACCCATTAGAATGGGTAGAAAAGGACTGCAGAAGTGGGATTTTCAATCACCTCCCCCATCCTTTGTCCATCTAAGAAGCCTATTCAGATCAGGGGGAAGTAAAACCAGGTGGAGGATATATTAGGGGTCTCCTACCAACTCCCCTCAGACTGAACAAGCTACTTGGATGAGTAGTAAAACGTTAAAAAGTTAGACTTATGCAAAGCCCATTCATCCCCTCTGCTGTTACAACTTCAGAAGTCCTAAAACTATTAATGCTGGGTTTGTTCTTTGTGTTTTGCAGGCTAACGAATACAAATATTATTCACAAAACTCCAGTATGGACTTTAATTGCTATTGTGTTGCTGTCTGTGTAAGTACTTTGACAGAATTCTTAATGTTTCACTAAACTACTTTATATTATACTAAATATCCTGCAATATTCCTTGTTATACTTTGTGAGATTTTGGGGGCTGTAATCCCAGATATCTGAAGAGTACAGCCTGCTAGAGAACATGCCCTGAGGCCATAAGAGCAAGAGAGAGAGAGAGAGAGAGAGAGAGAGAGTAAAGAAGAACAACATATTCAATACCCAAGATATTTAAAATACCTAGTTTTGGAAAGGGGTTAGGATGGTCTATATTTGCATGGTGGGACATAATCTTCTATTTAAATCTTTCTCAGCATTTGGGGAGCTTTTTTTTTCTCCTTCTCTATTTCTCGAAACAGAGCAACTTTTAAAATTTATTCTGTGAAAGTGTTGACGTACTCTTTTGCGAAGACAGCATTGCTGCAGGGCTGTAATTGGTTTCAGCTCCACTTTTTCACCAAGGTCTATCTAAGCTCATTTTGTTTACATGTTTGCGTCTCTTTAATCATGCATTTGCTTGTCTGATGTAGACACACATTTTGATTGGTTATGTAAGTGTTCTCTTGCACTTCAATTCCAAAATGAGAATGTCTAGACACTGATGAGCGCTCTCCAGACTTCTCCACCTTAATCCATACCTGTAAGAGAAAGAGGTAGTTTGGTACTCTGTTTTGGTTCATATCATTATTTTCCTTTTTGCTGCTTATATTCTACCCCAGCCTTGGGTAACCCAGATATTCTTGGACTGCAGTTCCCAGAAACTCCAGACCGCACAACTGGTGATGAAGGCTTCTGGGAGTTTTACTTCAAGAACATCTGGGTTACCAAGGCTGGGAACTAGACTATTCCTTGGCTTTAAAATGAGATTGGGCAATAAAGCTCTAATGAGGCCTGGCTTTAATAAACAATTACTTTTTAAAGAAAAAATCAGCATACCTCCCTGGTATATGTATATGTAAGAAGGTCTCCTAAGCTGAATTTCTAGGTTGGTTCTCTTAATCTCTTGCCTGTCATTAATTTCACCTTTCTCTCCCAATACCACATAGAGCATTTCATTTTTGGACTACAGTTCCCCAAATCCCCAAGCCAATATGGTTAACAGCCATCGTAACTAGGAGATTCTAGGTGTTGTAGTCGAAAAAGGCAACTTTTCTAAACTCTGCATGTGCTAAAAGTATAGTTTTATGTCCTCATCCTCACCCCCAGACACAACACAGGCAATGGAGGATGAGCAAATGTCTGACATACGTCGTACCTGGGGGCCAACGACTACGCTGGCAAGGCCATGGCTGCTGGTATGATTTTCTTCCCAGTTACGAGGTTGTAGAAAGAGTAGGGATCTCTCGCAAAGCCTCCTGACTGAAAGGAGGAAGAGGACAGTATACCATCATTGCAAGACTAGTTTTTTAGAAACCCTGCCCTTAAAGTTAATCAGAGGCAAAAGATTTTGCAGCCTCAGGTCAGAATGATGCCAATGTTCCCAACAAAAGTAGAGCCATGGAATCATATCCTGTAGGTGTTGACTCACTCTTGAGCAGTTGATTCAGTGGGTCTACACTGGCTGGGACTAGCCATAGGATTTAGGCCTTGCATTTTGGTATTTTGTTTTTCTTCCCATTGTGCTCCCCCCCACCCCCACCCAAATCACTGGTGACTTTTAAAAATGTGTCACGGTTTGCCTTTTAGTAGAGTTGAAGCCATCAAGCAATCTTTGTACGGCTTTCAGCTTGAATTACAAGACGGCAAAAAAATCTCATTTCAGAGGCCTTTTACTGCTGCACGGCTGCTTCTCCTTCTTTTGGGCTTGCTGGGTCATTGGAGTCTGTAGGTGGAGAATGTGCTTACCAGTCATTCACAGATCAGGCCGTGTTGTAGGCTAACCTCATAGCATCCCTAGAACTGCACTTACTTTGATCTTGCTTCAGTCTGACACATTGTTCTGCTTTGGTTGTCCCAAGGAAGGCTATACTGGTAGGCATTAGAGCAGGCTTCAATGAGCCTTACATCAGTGTCACCCTAGCCAGATACTGCTCAAATGATTCATTAAATCAGAACACAGAAAGTAACTTTACTTGAATGCCTGGGTATAAATTTTTTATCAACTGTAAGAACAAATCTTTTGTCTCTCTCTCCTTTTTTTAACGATACACTTTTCTGGTTGAATTCCTAATGTGTGAAACAGATCTTATGAATTTTTCAAGTGGTGTCTTTGCGTTTAATAAAAGGGTGCCTGTTTTGTTCACAAGTGAATATGTGTCTCAGCAATGAGCTATAAATGCTTCTAAACCTAAATGCTTTAACTTGCCGAACTCCTGATTTTTTTCCTTCCACCCCTGCCACTGAACTTTAGCACCAAACTTCTTGGGATGAAACTGCATGGCCAAATTGGTGACTTAGAAAAAGCATGCTGCTGCCTCTTTCCTCCCCATGCAGATGATGCTGCATTAATAAGAGAACAACCAGTGTCATACAACCAGTGTCATACAGTGGGGGTCAGCTAGGAAGACCTGAATTCAAATACCGGCTTCCTGGTGTGATTCTTTCAGCCCACTTGGGTCAGTCACTTTCTCTTACAGTACCCTGCTTTGCAGAGTTGTTTTGAGAATAAGCAGAAAATCTCCCTTTCTCATTGTTGCCAGATGGATATCTGCAGCATGTGAAGAGGACCTCATATGATTGCATGGGCTGTCTAAGAGAATGCAGGGATGTCAGTCCCACAGGGCCTTACAGGTTAACACCAAAAACCTTAATGCTAGACCTGACAGCAAACTGGCCAGCAATGTGATCCTTTTAATAACATGTGGAACAGGTTCCAGTATTTCCTGTGGTCCATTGTTGTCAGCACTAATCAAACCTGCCCAGGTCCAGAATGTGGGAAGGCTTCTTTTTTGAACTGTAGAGAATATAGAATCCCTAAGTCATTGGCCATACAGATTGGGAGCCGTTCTTAATAACATAGTCTTCAAAGTAACATGTTCACACCCCGAAATCTTTACAGCCATAGGTTTGTGTGAGTCTGTGGGTTGTACATTTACCTGTGTTTGCATGTGTATGTTTGATCAGATGTCTCCACACAGTTCTAATCATATCTGACTTGTTAGCTCAGTGTCGCCTGTGAATTTGGGTGTTTTAGAATAGTCCTTTAGTACCATGTAAGATACAGGCAACCTCTTCAGCCTTCTGGTTAATTCCAGTTACTTCTTTGCTAAGAGTTAGCAGTTTTCCTTGTATATTACACTTCTGATTTCCCGTTGCAGAATTAAAATATTCATATAATAATTTTTTAAAAAACAGCAAATAAAACTTTTCTCTACAGAGATCTTGACTCATGATCAAATGAAATAGCTGAATAGAGATACCAGTATGTTATTGGGAAGACTGGTCTGGGGATTGCCAAAGGGTTGCTGGGTATGTGGCGGTTGTTAGTGAATACCCCTGATACGGTCTAATGGAAAGCTTTCAAGATAATTTCCAGAAACGTCTGCTTTCATTTTATTTATCTGATCAGGCTAGTTGCAGTGAACTGTGGTCAGTTTCCTCCGTGAAGCTAGTGCAACAGTTTCCACCACCACCCCCGCTCTTAAAAGCTTTAGAGACTTTCCAAACGTTCTGGGAGCAAGCAGGGGGAAGCATTGGGACTTTGGAGTGAAACTCAAAATGCCCACAATGGCTGCAGAAAAGCCATTGCCAGACATGTGCACTTTAGGAAGACGTGTCATGTGGAGAGGAGGCTCTAGAGGTTTGTTTAGTGAGTGGTAGCAATGTGGATGCAGAACCATCTGCATGCAAGGGCCTTCCGTAGAGCAGCAAGCTGAAATGCACACCTATTGTGCTGGAAAACAGGAACAGCTTCAGGAAAACCTGGCAAGTGCTTTGGATAGAGCCTCTGGTGTCTGTAGCCATGCATTAATCAACTTTTATCTCTTGTAGTCAAGCTTTTAAAGAACATTGATTTCAACCTTGAAGAGACTTCGAAAAACAGGATATCTCCATGAATGAGTGTAGGTAGACAGGTGGCATTGATATGTTTTGCTAATTACACCTTGCCTGATTATTAAACTTGCATCTGAAGGCATGTTCTTCAATAGGCAAAATAAGGAAGAACATTTATTATTATTTACTCTTGTAGGAGGATCTCTGTTCTTCGTATCCCAGTTATAGCGGGAAGAGGATAGCAAGTGGCTAAACTACTGTACAAAAGGCAAACGTTAAGGCCTTCACAAATTCTAAAGGTGAATAGTAAAAAGCATATTCCTCATTTTAAGATGTAAAAAAGACTAAAAGAAAAACTAGATGTTTGTTTTATCATTAATTAATTAAAATAGCAGTGTTGATGAGTGGTAATGACTGCATGGTGTGGTTTTTGTTTTTTTGTTTTTTAATTAGAATTGTTAACATATCGGTAGCATCCTTGTCTTACATGATTTTGCATGTCTACCCAAAGGCAAGGGTTCACTTGGGCTTATTCCCAAGATAAGTGAGTATAAGACTTTTTAATTTTAACTTTTTGATTTGCAGTTTTTGAACACAGCAACATTCTACTTCCCTCTTCTTTTTGCACACCTATGAGGAATACGTTCTACTGAAGGCTGTGTAGGACTTCTGCATTAACTGTAGTTACTGTTTAATTTTAAGATGATGCTCTTTTTCCAAGAGTTGGAACTGGTGCAGTGAGCAAAGAGACCCCTCCTTTGTATGTCCCTTCCTTAGATCATAACTTAAGGGCAGAGAATCTCCATAGGCCAGATGGAACCTGCAGGATGCCCCTGTCTGGCTTGCCAGCTTCTCCACAGGCCTCAAGTTAAGAGACCACCCTCTCTCTTGCCTTTGTATTTTCTAGGGTTTGTTGTGTAGAAGCCGCTTTTAGTAGTTTATGAAAGTTCTTGTCATCCTTCTCCTATGGAATTCTGCTTGAAAATAGACATGCTATATCATCATCATACGCCATCAAGTCAGTTATGACTGATGGAAACCCTTTTCAGGATTTTCTAGGTATTCGGAAG